TTTATCTCTGCTACCCACTCCTCAGATAGAGGTTTGCTTTTGTGCGTATAGGTGGGCATGTGGATCATAACTCTGCTCCATGACAAAGATGAACATGGAACTTTTCACATGAGTTATGCTATGCTGCAAATGAGTAATTACTTCAGCACTGTGCTACATTTCTTCTTGTTAATGCTGGCTATAATTTCAGGCGGACGAAAGCTGTGTCTGAGGTCTGCTGTCTTTTCTCTATTAAAATATTCACTCAAATCAAGTAAAAGTGCTACTCATTTTTGCTCACAAGACAACAAACTTTGTCCCCTAGCTTATCACCTCACACTGAATTGGCTACTCTTTAGCCGTTGGTCTTTTTATCCTGCCCTTTGTACATTTTCATGTTCTCCCCCCCCCCTTTTGAGAAGGCCCTAGTATTTTTTGCTATTTGCTTATGAGTGTCCTGGAATCTGTGTGCGGTCATGTTTGTTTACTTGGGTTTTTATTTTGGCTTATTAGGAGGCTGTATGGAAATAATTATCCATAAATAATTGCCCACTTTGTTATTTATATTTTATAAATTATATTCTACCTTTCCAGGAGTTCAAAGTGTCTTCCATAATGAAATTTATCAACAATTGCAGCATTTCAGCAATCAATATTACAAATCAGAAATGCTTCCCTACTAAACAAACTCTGTTTCAAACAACATTACCAAAATGCCTTCTGAAATAAAATTCTCACAAGCGCATTTAAAGGCCAACAAAGATGTACCCTAGCACATATTTTTGGTCCCTTGTTCCATAACTGTAGGATAATTCAAGGGAGGGAACAGCCAGGTTAATACCAGGAGATGCAGCTCTTCAGGGATTTAGATCCCCAGTTATGAAGGGCTCTACAAGTACTAGCACCTTGAACTGAACCCAGGAGCTTACAACAGCATAGCTCGCCATAGGCATATTAGCTGAGTCTACAAGGGAAGGCATATTCTGAAGTAGATGTAGCTGGGAAAAGGCAGACTTGCCTTGGCACCAGTGACACCCCAAAACAATGACAAATCTAAAAGCACCCCAAGAATTTCCTTATGATCAGCTATGTTACCTGACTCCATCTAAAATTAGCAGGTTTATCCCTTCCAGCACAACAGCCAGGATCACCTCTGTCTTGTCTGGATTCACTTTCAGGACAGCAATGGCCATCAGCATATTTCTGAAACTCAAACCTCTGGATGGTCTCTGACAGTGATCCAATACAAATATATAACAACACAGGTAATAACACAGAACCCAGGGGACTACCACATTTTAAATCCCATGGAACATATTCAACCTCCCCAAATGAAACTTTGTGACTACAACCAGACAATTATGACTGCAATCACTGGAATGAAATTCCTGTGATACTCAACTTTGTTTCCAACCAGTGTAAGAAGATGGAATGGGCTCCTAATGTCAAAGACTAATGTTAGATTGAAAATAATCAATCAAGATGATAAATTGTATCCATTTGTAGATGGTGATCATCCACCATTGTGACCAAACCTGTCCCTAAACTAGACCTGAAATCAGACTGAAATGAGTCCGTGGCAGACATGTCATACAGGTATCTCTGAAGTTGCTCTTCTTTCGCCATCTCAGTCATCTTGCCTTCCGAAGGTAAATTTGAAACTCCTACATAAAGGTCCAGTCCTTCTTTCAGCAGAGAAGTTTTCTTCAGACTGGCCTGACTACTGCCTCTTTCGGGGCTTTTAGAAAATGCCCTTCAGTCAGATCAATATTTACAGTTCTAGCCAAGCTAGGTTTAATCACATCCTGGCAAAATGCCAATAGCCCCGAGGAGCAAGGGTCTGCGTTGAAACTGGTGGTCTTTACAACCTTGAGGACTCTCTCCATGCTGGTCAGAGAGAGTGACCTGAAACTATTCATACAAATTTGACAAGAGGATACTTTTAACATCCTTGACAATGGATCTTCATGAAACTAGGCATCCAAATCAGATCAAATGAGAGAAATTTTATCAACAGAATCTTGCCAAAGCACTGCAGTGATCAATGGGAAATTCTCCATCCTGGCTAGTAGACCCCGCACCACCCTAAATAAATAAACAAGATGAGAATTTACTAATGCAATAGTGGGGGGAGGCCTTTTTTTTTTTACCATCATCACTGCCCTATCCGCCTATAAATGGACTCTGGTTTGCTGTGACTTTGGCTTGAGACTTCTGCCATTGTCATCCTAGGTATCTTTGAAGCCATTTTTTAATCCCCTAGTTCACTAGAGAACCAAAGAGCCAGAATCCTTTATGCATGGGGTGGCAGTATGAGGGTATAGCTAGCTAAGGCTAGCTAGGGTTGCTAGCTGTAGCTGGCAGCCAGGTGGGAGAATTTGGGGAAGGGGACAATCTCACTGATGTACAACTTCACTTCCGGTACAGAATGAAAACGATGTCATCACTTCAAGGCAATGCTATAACATTCACTGTAAACTCTACGATTAAACTGCAAAAATTTCCATTTTAGTGCCATAAGTGACACTGTGCATCACTGTGACGGCCAAGAGTCTCCTCTATCCCCCCCTCCACTAGCCTGTCAAGCAGTGGTGGAGAAGAGGGGACCCTAGCCAGGAGGCCTCCCCCTGTAACTAGGTAACAAGGATGCAGAAGCATGGTAAGCAGGGACTAGGGAAGTTGTTCGGCTTCAGATCCGAGTAATACTACCTCCTTCAAATGGAAAAGCCATTTCAGACTTATTTTTCTCTGCATTCCCCAAATGATAAGATAACTTTGTGGAAGCACTTCCATGTAGTACTTTAACAAGTTACACACTGTGCACAGTTGCTTCTTTATTTTTCAATGGTTCCCTTTTAGTAACACCTCAATATATTTAAAAAAAATTACCCGCATATTTAAAAAATAATAGTGTTTCAATTCACCAGATTGGGGAGAGCATTTTGTTATCCTAATGTGCAGTGCCATTCTCTGTATGTGTTCTACACACGATACTCATTACAAAGTCTGAAGCAGAACCTGCCGCTCTCCAGAGAAAAGAAAACGGCTGACCAAAAACCAAGAGGGATGAAGCCAACCACATCATTTTGCTTTGGCTTTTTATTGCATCAGGAAGGAGCAAGGTGCTGAACAGTAGAAAAAAGATACAGAAGTGGCAATTTACATCCAGTTGCTTAAGTGGTTTAATAAGCTTTAGCCTTTTGCAGGACTTCACCGATGCTCTTTTGTCAGGCCACAAAGGATCGTGATGCAATGCTTTGTGAACAGCTTCTTCGTGTAGAGAAGTGGCTCCAGCTTATTAATGTTTAACACCCTGTCAGGCTTCTGGAAAACATTTTATAGCACACACTCTGGATGGAAAAATGGAAAGAAAACAATTAGCAGCAACATTTGATTTCACTTCTCTCACCCCAAATAATTTCCTTAATAAGCCCATTTCAAACAATACTGTAATCACAAATATAATTTGCAATTGAAAACTAAGGTCTGAAAGAGAACTTATGGCAGTTTTGTAGCTGCCACCAAAAAGAGAGCCCCAAGTCCTCTCCTTGACCTCTCTTCCTGGTAAGATCCAGCAACATAAAACCTGTGATCACTTTGTGAGTTCCCTCCATTCCCTCCACTTCATTGGCTGCAGCATGTGGGAGTGGGGAAATTTGCAACATGATGATGTCACATTGTACATTTTGTTTAATAAACTTGACAAGAGGAGGAGAGGAGGAGCCTGCAATTGTTGCTTTTGGCACATTTAGTTTCAGCTTGAGATGCAGGTTAGTGGTGGGGGGTTTACCTCAAAGGTATGCAACATTGAGACAGGGTTCATCAGAAAAATCCTAGAAGAAGATCATCATCAATCATCAATCATCATCATCATCATCATGAGACCCCAAAGGTCTCAGGGCAGTGTGCATCACTATCAAACACACAGCAAATTTAAAAATACAATAAATAATTAGTTACAGCTAAAATCAATAGACATTGGGGACCGCTGTCCTACAGTGTGTTTTGCTTACTGTCTGAGATGGAACAGCTCTATCTGTGTTCTATTCAGGAGCCTTGAAGTCTCCATTAAAGCTTCCTGTCTTCTGTGATAATGTCAGACAGGTAGGTAAGGGGCTGTTTTGCCTATTACACGGCAAGAAACCCAGATTTACTACCAAGGGCTGCTTTCACACAGAGGTTTATGTCTGCTTTGGTTGCCAAATGGCAGCACTTCTTTTGGGGAGCATCCACATGACATCATGCTCTAATCATGCTCTGGTTGTCCTTTCCCCATCCTCACTATACTCTTCCCCAAACCTGCATGTCTCTATTCTTTTGGGGGAAGATTGCAATTCAAATATGTTACCAGTCTGACCAGAAGGCTGAGGCAGCCTGGTGTATTCCATTTGGGTGCCTCTACCTGCATAACTGGTTTCCTTGTTCAGCTTTGAGAGGTGGGGTTGATGCATACACCTTTGCAGCAGCCGTAGAGTCGAACTTTTAAAGATACAGGCCCCTTCTCCATGTTATGACCTGGCCACCCTGGTTCATGTTTTGCTAGTATATGGGATCAGGCAATTAGGTGCAATTTCTTCTTTACAACAGAAATACTGTATAAATAAGCCAGTCACATGCTGCTTTCATTTATGTGGTCTTTGGTCAAATCTGCATTTGCATTTTTAAATCAGTTTTGTGCTGCTGCGACGCTGTCTTTCTCTATGTTTGACGGCATCATGGCAGCACAAAACTGATTTAAAAATGCAAATGCAGATTCGGCTTTTGTCTTGTCCCGCATCACAAGGTCACTGCATAACACAAAGGCTTGTAACACCTCTAGCTCAGTTTGGGGCTCAGTCCTACCCTACCCCCCCATCCCCTGCCAGGAGCCAGGGGAGACCTGGCAACCCTATACAAAGTGCCAAGCTGCAATTTGTAGAATATTTTAGACTACTCACTTCATATCTATGTGAAAGTAATCAGACAAAGGACATTGATGAAACACTGAAGCCCCCGAATATACCACAGATAAGGATACTAACCATCAGCAAAATCAGGTTTAAAACACCAGGGCACACCAAACACATTTGAATCAAAGCAACAGTTCTTCTGACTGCATTCAACTTCACCAATGCCTGGGTAGCCACAGTTTTCTCGTGACCTTGCTGGAACATTACATACTCCTTCAGCTATTAAAAACAAAGCACAAACACAACAGCTGTTTTCTATGAGGCAAAAGATAACAGATAAAATAACTAGCTGTTTAATCTTTTCAAAATAATGCTGCTAATTAATTAAACAAAAGCAATCTGAATTTCAATAACATAACATTGAAATTGTATTTTATTCATTCACTGCCAAAGTGATAAATGGCATTCTGATCATGTATTGTTTGCATGGGCTAGCTGGGTCATGAAACTCAGGCTGCGGTCACACAAGTGGTTTGTCGGGATATAGCAGAGTTACCTTTGTGGATTTAAAAAGCACAATCAGACAGCAACATCTGCGTTCCATGCCCCAGTCATCGGCACCCCATGTTGCCCCACTTTGGAAGCGGAATAATTAGGCACAGGGAAAGTCCAGTTTTCATGGATGCCAGTGTTTCCACTCCCCTTTCCCAGCTGTCTGAATTCTTCTGCTGTGATCCATTTCCACCACTGTTTTTTTTAGTTGCTGCCTATATGTGCATATGCGCATGAGCACATATGCCCATTCACCTTGCATTAAAGCAAAAATGACTGGGCAGTGCACTCCATGGTTGAGGCGCTGCAGTAATGTGGATGCTTGACCAGGGGATGGGTAGGGAAACCACCCCAGGGTGTGCTGCCTGGTAGGTCTGCCCCACAACACTTTAAACTGGTGCACGTAGGGGCGTGCCCGGATCGTGGCAAGCCTCCAGTGTGACCACAGCCTCATACATACAGCCCTTCATGGAATTGTCAGATTAATGATAAGTTTCCAGCCCTCCTGGTTGCATAGAAAATACTTGAAACTGGTGAAGGTTGTGCAGCATTATCAAAAGCCTCACAGCAGGCAGGCAGGCAAATAAGAAATACCTTCCCATCAAGACTTCAAAATTTTCTCTCAGGATTTTACAGAGTTTCTTTTTAATTTTGAGCATTTGTGCTTTTACCTTTTAAAAATTAGCACATATTATTTTTCCTGGAATAAAGATGGGAAATTTTATCTGCTAAATGTTGGCAACTACAGCTTTACTATTGCTAAGATTAAAACTTTCCCCTGTTCTCACTCACATTAATCTGCAACTAGCTTTTTCTCAGTGGCTGAATCTGCATTTGTCTTTCCCACCGGTGTCCTAGCCTTTTGATTCCAAAAAAGCTGTTTGGTGTCATTTTCACACCTCAAGAGTGCTAGCATACTTTTGCATGCCCACATATGTTTATCGTCCTTTCGGGGCAGCTCCACTGTCATTGCACCTCTGCACTGCTTTTAAAGACTCTTCTCCAAACAACATTAAAGAAAGACGGTGTCACAGCAGTATGAAACTAATTTAAAAGTGTAAATGCAGATTCGACCATTGACAATTGCACGATAGCTTCACTTGCAGTAAATATACTTAGCAAATCCCCAGGAAACAGTTCTCCTCCCCCTCCCCCAATCAGCATGAAACCTGAGAGTCACAACTTCCTGGAGAATGACTCCATTTGTATAATGTAAAAAGTGCAGTCTACTCCTTAGGTTATACTAACCGCAACATCACAACTAAATTCAAACTAATTTCAGTTTTCAAACACACATTTACCCCACAACATGCTTACCTCACTACATGCTTTTCTTTGTAATGTTACATAGTGAAGTATACAGGAAAAGATGTGACAACCTTTACATACCTCATTTTTAATTTAAAATTAAATTTAAAATTAAATTTAAAATTGACAATAATAACAATTTAATTAAAAGCCATGATAGCAGTATATGTATCCCACAAGCCTGAAAATATATGGGTCTCACTTCCTGAAGCATAGAGGTTTGGAAGTTACAGACTGGGCTTCATCCCTTTAGAGAGTCAGCACAGCTTTCCATTCCTTTCCATGGCTTCCAGTTTCATCCTGCTCCTGCAAACCTAGGCTGCAGTCACACATACTAAATAATCCACTTTCAGTCCACTTTTAGTGCACTTTCCAACTGGATTTTTACTGTGTGTGAACTGGCAAAATCCAGTTGGAAAGTGCATTGCAAGTGGATTGAAAGTGGATTGTTTAGTGTGTGTGACCGCAGCCCTACTCTCTTCTTAACTATTCTAAGGCTTCATCCACACACAGCACAGGAGATTCCTTATCATTGCACTACAGTAGTCAATTGCAACTGGATTTTTTTTCTAGTGTGGATAAGCAATTCAGTTATGAACTGTGGCTATTGTGCACTATCCAGTGATGTGTGATTGCAGACTATGTGTCACAGTTCTTTTTTGTCATCCCACTTCAAAACTAAATTGCTGGCCAGTAATGTCCCATAATCCTTCCAGCAAAAAAAAATTATACTCTGCCTTTTTAGAACTGAAATTTGCAATACCTTCCTAAGCAGAGATATATTCTTCTAACCCCACTGACTTAGAAGCGTGGAACTCTGCTTAGGGTAGCACTGTGAATGTAGTCTAACTCATGCTACTAGATCTTCCATAAAATACAAGCCACAAAAAAATAGTAACTGAAAACCTGCACTTACGCAGCAAGGCATTGCTGAGCCCTACAATTAGGACAATGGTGAAAACCCAGAGCATTTTCTTTTCCATTGCAGTCTTCGGTACTCAGCCACTTGGGGAAACTGTGAATCTGTGGGTTCAAAATCTCCCAAGAGAGTTTTGCTTTATATGGTTTTGTGTGTGTTCATTTCAAAGAACATTTGCCTAAGGTGGTACTTCTGGGCAGTCCATTCTCTTTATCACCTTTTGATTAAAATTAACACATTGAACAATGAATTGACTAATCTTTCTTGATTAAAAGAAAAAGCTGACTCAGATATTAAACTTTGTTAAAGGCCTGTACAGCAAAGAGTTCCCACTACACAAAATCCTATATGCATTAAGGTACCCAACAAGACCATCAACATTTGTATAGTGCTTACAAGTATTTTGGTACAATGTGTAGTAATCCTTACAACAAGCTTTATAGCCCTATCCTAATACCCCCAACACTGGTGGTTCTCTAACACTGGCAATGTACCAGCACTGCTTGTCAATATCCTATTACAAACTAACAGCATTGCAAACAGGGGAAGTAAGTGACAAAACCCCTCTTGACAAGGCTCAGACCACACATTAGTACACCAGAGTCCACAGCAAATCCATCAACCTCCACCACTCATGGAGCTGCATGTTGTGACGCTCCCATAAGTGGTACACATGGATGAAGCCAACCAAAACTGACTGATATGGCCATGATCCATCCCCATGACAGGCAGCTGCCACCTATATGAGGAGCAAATTTAGGGAGGAAAAAAAGGAAGAACAACTTTCCCCTATTAGAAGGAGCACAACAGTATAACTGGCAAGAGTCCCAGAGTGAAGATACTTCAGGGAGCTCTAGAGATGTACATTGAAGTCTGTACCTGAAACCAAGTTCCCTTTGGCCAGGGACACACAGAAAGACAAATGGCCACTCTAACCACAGCATTCTCACATTCCCATAGTTCAGCCATAACTCACTCAACTATGATCAGGGCTTTTTTTGTAGAAAAAGCCCAGCAGGAACTCATTAGCATAATAGCCCACACCCCCGACAGTGCAGCTCATTAGCATATTAGGCCCCACCACCATACCGTCCCTTGGCTTGCCCGGGCCCCCACAGCTGCGGGGCGCCCAGGCAAGCTGGCCCTTGGACAGGCTGGGGAAGGCAAGGGGAGGCATTTAAATGCCTCCCCGATCCTTCCAGCCCCC